AATTAATATGTGGAAAACAACAGGACATATAATTAATAATCGAGAGTCAAATATTGCTGCAGTGATAAATTTAGCTGACTTTTCGTTCCTCTTTATTTGTTTGTGTCTTTGTCTTGAAAACAGATGGGGCAACAAGAACCACAGATTAATGACGGTAAATGAAAAAGCTACAAAAATATGCCGCCTCATTAAGCTAGCACTATTAATCCACGTTTTGATTTGCAGTTCATGATGAGTTATGTTATGTTGTTCAGTCAAGCACGTTTTGTATATTTTTTATCAATCGGCATTTATTGATTTCTGGAAATAAATAAGAAATGTACAGTTGGAAATCAAATCCGATGAGACATTTCTGGAAATAAAGAAGAAATGTGCAGTTGGAAATCAAATCCGATGAGACCAATGTAATTGATATCATATTTCATAATGGAATATTGGAACTTAAATTTTTTTGAGTAATTGAGCATATGATTTTTCCCATTGTGATATTTAAATTAAATAAATGGATTTGATATTTTATCCTTCAAAAAAAAAAGGGAAAAGAATTCGAATTGTTTACTAGGCTTAAATTTTTAAGTCAAGTCAGAATCTAAAGTTTTTCCATATTTTCCAAGAATAAAGTACTGCCTTTAACTTTATATTTTTTTTAGTGAGCAAACGACATGTTCTCACCCGAGATTTAGCCAAATCCTAAGTTTATACCCCTGATTCTATTTATTTTATATTCCCACCCTTAAACTAACACTGTAAGTTAATTTTAAATTTTGATTTATATAATTACCATCCTATCCTTCATTCTTATTTCACCCCACCCCACCCAACCACCATCACCTTCACCATCCAGCCATCACCACCACCCACCAAACCCACTCAATCGCCGTTCAGGCCCAATTTAGCCTGATTCCGACGCCGATTGACCAACCCAACACCACCATCAGGATCCTCTCATCTCCCTCTTGAAAACCCCTCTCATCTCTAACTGTTTGCTGCCACCATTCGTCAACCATCGCGATCCCCCACCCCACAGATCCCACAAAGCACACCTTGGCGTATTCTAAAATCAGTCCAGTCGTCGTCCTTTTTGCCACTTTTCCAGCTTTTTTTTCACCCAAAACCACCACCATCTGCCTCCCTAAACCTCCCACATTAAAACTCCAGCCTTTCCTCAATTAAAACCAACCATTCCAACCTGGAAAACACCGACCACATCTGGGTTTTTCTATGCGCTGTGCGATTGTCTCCAGCTGGATTCTGGCTGATTTTGGTGGCCTCAACCCCAAACGACACCACCCTTGCACTCACAAGCATCTCCCCTTCAAAACACCCATCCTTCCCGACCATGATTGCTCGCTATTCATCGCCGCCACTCAACTTTGTGTTTTGTGAAATTAGTTGAAATGGAATTTGGTTGGGTCGTGGAACTAATTTTTGATTTAGTTTTTTGTTTGATGTTTTAGTTTGACTGTTGTGTGTTTAGGTGAATGTGTTGGGAAAGAAGAAGGGCCGAATATGGTGGCGGTTTGGCTGGCTGGTGTTGGGAAAGAAGAATGGTCGACTGTGGCAGTGGTGGCTTGGCAGCAAACAGTTAGAGATGAGAGGGGTTTTCGAGAGGGAGATGAGAGGATCCTGGTGGTGGTGTTGGGTTGGTCAATCGGCGTCGGAATCAGGCCAAATTGAGCCTGAACGGCGATCGAGTGGGTTTGGTGGGTGGTGGTGGTGGCTGGATGGTGACGGTGATGGTGATGGTGGTTGGGTGGGGTGAAATAAGAACGAAGGGCAGGATGGTAATTGCGCAAATCAAAATTTAAAATTAACTTATAGTGTTAGTTTAAGGGTGGGAATATATAATAAATAGTACCAAGGGTATGAACTTAGGATTTGGCTAAAACTTGGGTGAGAACATGTTGTTTGCTCTTTTTTAGTTGAGTCAACATCAAATAAAATTAAAAAAAAATGATTATTCGTTTATTCATATGATTTTTCTGTAAAATTTATATAGATACATAATGTGATATATATATAGGATTAACAACATAGTTAGATAGTTGCGCTTGTTTTGTTTTTTTCAAAATACTCTATTCCTATCCTTAAAAAAATACATATTTGTTTCTCTATTCTTAAAATCATATCCTATAATATTCAACTTTTAAATCCCCATAAGTTTGTTAATTTAGCTAAACAACCCTAATAATTATTTTTTTTATAAATTGACAAAAACACCCCCTACCAACTCACATTTGTTAGATTCTGACAACCACCAACGGAAGGTGACCAGAATTTGACATAATAACACACTACCGGCTAGATCTGACTGGTAGTGCACCGATCTGACATTTTCTGACCAAATTCATAGTAGATCTGGCTGTCAATGACGACTAACATATGACTGTCATTAACCGTCCACGACAACCATATCTTTCGCTGTCGTTGATAGCCAGATGTGGCCAGCCAGATCCAACCTTAGTTCTGACATTTTCTAGCCAGATTCGCCTGGAAAAGGCTATAGCGGTGCACAACCGGCCAGATCTAGCTAGTCGTACGCAATGAAACAAGATTGGCTGGAATCTAGTAACTGTGGGTAGATGAGGGTATTTTTATTAATTTATAATTTTTTTTATTTAGAGTGTTTAGTTAAATTAATAAACCTAAAGGTTTTTTGGTTAATTTTCAAATCCTACCTTTTAATAATAATCCAACTCAACTTGATAATAATCTTTCAAAAATACTATTTAAAACAATAAAACAAACACACCATCAATATTATAATATTCATGTCATAAGTATTTAGATATAAATAAAAATATTAATCTACAACTTAAAATAATCAGAAATAATTAAAGATAGTTGTATATAGCACGAAGGACCTGCTGCCCCTGGCAAGAATATCTAAATGGAAAATGTGCAAGTTAAAGGCACAAGACCTGTCAATTAATTGACCCTGTTCAGCCACGTCAATGTCTCGATCAATTTTGTTTTAAATTTCCAGGCCGGCGTTTCGAGATTTGTAATGTTCAATGAACCTGAAAATTAATAGAGGTAAACTGATGCGAACACTTCAGTTAAAAAAAAAATGATAAATATTATTGACGTTTAATTTTGAACGTCAACAACTCATATGCGGGAAATATTGAGCTGATTCAGGAGACATACGTGAATGGATTCATGAGATTTGAAGGGATTTACAATTGTCAGATTCTGACAACTACCACCAAAAGGTGGTCAAAATTTGGCGTAATAGCACACTACCGGCTAGATCTGGCCGGTAGTGCATCGATCTGGTATTTTTCGATCAAATTTGCAGTAGATCTGACCGTCAATGATGACTAATATATGGTCATCATTGACCATCCACGATAAACATATCTTTGGCCGTCGTTGACAGCCAGATGTGGCCAGCCAGATCTAACTGTAGAACTGGCCTTTTCTAGCCAGATCCGTGGCGGATTTGGCTGGAAAAGGCCATAGCGGTGCACAGCCGGCCAGATTTGGCTGGTTGTACACAATAAAACAAGATTCCGACGGTGGTGGCCAGAATCTAGCAACTGTGGGTGGATGATGATGTTTTTGTCAATTTATAATTTTTTTATTATTGAAGGTGTTTAGTTAAATTAACAAACCTAGAGGTTTTTTTGGTTAATTTTCAAATCCTATCTCGTAATAATAATCCAACTCAACTTAACAATAATATTTTAAAAATACTATTTAAAACAATAAAACAAACACACCATCAATATTACAATATTCATATCATAAATCTATATTTATTTTTATAATTAGATGTTGAATTTTATTAGTCTTTATTAATTTTTATGTTGTATATAGCACGAAGCCACGAAGGACCTGCTGCCCCTGGCAAGAATATCTAAATGGAAAGGGCGAGCGATATTTTCCCACCCAAGGTTTGATGAAATGACCTTTCCCACCCATCAAGTTTCAAAATAACACTTTCCCACCCTTCATTAGGTTTGGTTAGTGTTTTCTGTTAATATTTGACTAAAAATATGAAAATACCCTTAAATATTTTATTTCTTAATTAGTTGATTATAAATTTAAATTTATTTAATTCAAAGTATTTATTCGATTATTTATTAGTCCAAGTATAAAAATATATTTTTTTCTTTGTTTATTTAATTAATTAGGAACATTGATTTTTTATATTAATTAGTAAAAATAAAAAACATTATAAAGAATAGTGATATGATATTGATGACATTATAAATAAATATTAAAATTATTTAACTTTAAATAATTTTATAACATTAATCCTAATTTTTAGGTGGAGTTAACTATTTTTTCTTTTTTAATATTTGACTTTTTGACTAATTAAAAAATAAAAAAAAATTTAAAATAAAATATTTAAGAGTATTTTTATCTTTTTAATAAAATATTAATAAAAAATAAAACAGAAACTACAAAGGGTGAAAAAATGTCATTTCGAAACTTGGGCGGAAAATGTCGTTCTCCCAAATGGAAAATGTGCAAGTTAAAGGCACTAGACCTATCAATTAATTGACCCTGTTCAGCCACGTCAATGTCTCAATCAATTGTGGTAAATCTCCAGGCCGGTGCTTCGAGATTTGTAATATTCCCTTAGCCTCCAAAATTAATCAGGATGTACATAAACTAATCCGATCAGTTCAGTTAAAAAAAAAATAATAAATAAATAAATATTAAGATTGATAACATATAAAATAATCACACTTCATAAAATAAAATAATTTACCCTACTTCTCTATAATGGTCAATATCCATGAATGAGAAAGAAATGTTTAAACACTGTTATAACATATGATCTTTAAAAAAGCAATGTTTCGTAACCTAAATTTGACTATTACCCTTAAATTTATTTTTTGAGATTTCTCTCTTTTTTTTTTTTTTTGATAGAGAAATAAAAACCTACTAGAACGAGCCAAAATATATTGAAACAATAATTTATGTATTTATTTATTTTCCTTTTGTGTGATGGCTTGAAAGAGTCTCGAGTGATTAGTCTTTTTTTTTTTGATAAAGAAATGGAGGAATCTGGGGCCATCTATGTAGAGTCCCTAGTTTTGCTACTTCTAGAGTGATTGATTATAGACAAATCAAACACTGTTTAACTTTGATTGCAAACTGTTTAAAAAAATTCTGTTATTTTCTATATTTATGATTGAAGTGTTGGACTTATGGAAGTTCAATGGAAACTCCATAGTCTGTTTCCTTCTTCAACCTCTACGTCTTTGAAAAGTTGCTTAAGTACAGAAAATTAGGTGAAGCTTTTAATTGACCTTAAGTGTCATTTATATTTTTGCTCCCTGTGTGAGACTTCCCCATTTTAGCTTCAATCAATGAGAGACTCCATGTCTTCCTTTAGTGAGAGCAAAAGCACTTCTGCGGAAAGTGATTCTGATCATGAGCTCCGAAGAGGGCCGTGGACTCTGGAAGAAGACTCTCTCCTCATTCATTGCATATCTCGCCACGGAGAAGGCCGCTGGAATTTGTTAGCAAAACGTTCTGGTAACTTTGATTCTTCATTCTTTTTTTCACTTATTTGAACAAGCTTTTTATAGACTTTATCTAATGTTTTTTTTTTTTGGGTTTATTTTGTTTTGGTCAAGGCTTGAAGAGGACTGGAAAGAGTTGCAGATTGAGATGGCTAAATTATCTGAAACCAGACGTGAAGCGCGGAAATCTTTCTCCTCAGGAACAGATGTCCATTCTTGAACTTCATTCTAAGTGGGGTAATAGGTAAATCATCTAAATTATTAATTTTGATTTTCTTGATTTTATTTTCACTATTTTTTTGGTACTCTGTTCTATATGCATCATTCATTAATCAACTTGACATGATTAAAGTGGTAATATACTTTAGTTTGATCGCGATGAAAGAACTATTACTTTAGTTATAGTGTCACGTCGATATAGTTCGTTATATTAGTATCTGAAAATCTAATAGTTAACATTAAAACGATTATATCGATCCAATAAAATTTTTAAAAAAGACATAAAGTAATTATAGTACACATAAGTTATAAAGGGAATAAAAAAATGATGTGAATCTTTATTATTATTTTTGGCATTATTCTATAATGCTTAATTTCTCTACTAAAATAAGGTGAAAATTTATCGATTGTTTAATTTTGTAGGTGGTCAAAGATTGCTCAACATTTACCAGGGAGGACTGACAATGAAATCAAGAACTACTGGAGAACTCGTGTTCAGAAACAAGCGAGGCATCTGAAGATCGACGCCAACAGCGCAGCATTTCAAGATGTTATTCGTTATTTCTGGATTCCCAGATTGCTTCAGAAGATCAATGAATCATCATCATCATCATCTTCGTCAAGTTCAGCTTTGCATAATTCCCAAAATTCAACGGTTAATATTCTCAATCCTCAGTCTTTCGATGACCATGCTAATTTTCAGCAATATTATTCAACGTCATCGTCTCCACTACCAGCAGCCCCACCGAAAGTTGCAGGCCAGGGAGCCGTTAATTACGGATTTAATCAGCAAGAGTTGAACTCAGACTCCGAACACGGCCCAAATTCGTCCATATCTTCATCAGAATCGATGAATATCTCACAAATATCTCAGTTTTCAGACTACCAAACGAGTCCTTTTCATTATCAATACAACACGTTTCAAAAAGATTTCTATTTGGAAACCATGGCAAATCAGGGAGATTTCATCAACCCACTTAGTGATTGCCAAATAGAAGCTGATAATAACAACTGGGCTGAATATGATCTAGCAGCAGATGGCATGTGGACCATGGATGAACTGTGGCAATTCAAGACTTCACAAGAAAATTAATGGTACCTGAAAAGTCTTTGTTTTCTTATTTTTACTTTTTTGTAATAAACAAATATAAAGGTTCAAAACTTTAATTTTAGTCAGTCAATATTAATAACAAGCAATTGTTAATGTTCTTCTTTAAATTAATTTTAAATTATAGTCTAATTTGAGAAATCAAATACACATGATGTTCTTTTGTTTGTTTGATTAGACCATGAATATAATGTATGTTACTCTTCTAATTAAGTTGTATATTATTAAATTCATTCTTTCTTATCAAGATTTATCATTTATGTGATGAGTTATATCTATTTTCACTTTGAAATCAAATACACATAATTTACACTTAATCATAATAATTAGATAGACACAAACTTATTGAAGAAGAGCAAATGAATTTTTCCCACCCAAGGTTTCCCTTAATGACACTTTCCCACCAAAAAAGTTTAAAAGTACCACTTTTTCACCCAAAGTTAATACTCCATTACTACCCAAAGCCGATTCAGGCCGTGGAAATTCTCTCTATCACCACCATTTGAACCTACAATCTCCTCTCCACAAAAACCTTCTTTCGTTGACACCTTATTTCTCGTCGATTGTTGGCTACTGAAAAGCTAGGGTTTCCTATTCTTAATTGATTTTTGGCTTATTTCGACGACAAATATTCAATCGATCACCATCAGTTGATCCATTAACCTCAACTCTACAAAACCTCTCTTACCCTAACTCTTGGTAACTCAAAGAACGTCGGCTAAGAAAGTGAAATGTATTTTGGGTATTAATAAAATATAAACTTTAGATGGGAAAATGGTATTTTGAAACTTTTTGGGTGGGAAAATGTCATTTACTCTATTGAAGAATTATAAAATTTAGACTAAAATATGGATCAATAGTGGGCTAATGTTAATTCACCAATGTATAAAAGTTATGCATCTAAAATATAATACTGTCTTAGATATTGTTAGGGTTAAATCATTTAAAAAAAAATCATACACTTTGTCTAACAAAACAAGATGTTAATATATTGATTAAACTTGCATATATACAACCATATAATATAATATCTTGTTTGAAATTATATAACCATATAATATAAAATATTTTTTAAAATGATAAAACCCCACTTATTAATCAACGACCTCAAGTTGGGGCGTGACAAATGGTAGGAAAACAAGTTCAATATGATAATCATTTGCTCGAAACATAGGTCAATTCCTTTCAATATTATTTCATTTGTTTGATTTTAAAGCCACAGGATAACTATAAGTATAACTATTAGATCTCTGACAATTTAATACATAAATTAAGTACTCCACTGGCTGCCTACCAACTGAATGAGCCGATTCTAGGAAACAATTCTTAAAACTGAAGCAATATCCCAGTAGTGTATAAGAGACCCCACTCCCTTTGAAATCATCAGGAGAACGACAAGAGTTTATGACAGTGAAAGTGTTGTCATCTTTCAATGAAATAAATAAAATTCAAGCAACTCTTGGAAAATAATTTTGATTTTGAACTATTTTTTTCATTCTGTCACCAACCCATTTCACTTACGAGATTCTAGATGCACATCTTCATTATTTTCCTTTAAGTTAATTACATTTTAGCCTCTAAGATTTGATATTTCTCCTCAATTTTAAGAACAAAATAAAGACATTTTAAATAAACAATTATCGATATCATTTTTTACATTGATGTATTGTAAAAATAAGTCAAAATTTCCCATCGCTTGCACTTTCAATCACATTAGTTTGCATACAACTATTTATAAGATTTGTTTGTACGTTTATCATTATTGACAAAAATATAAATAAAATGTGATATAAAAAAAAAATTAATACCAGAGGATAATTCTAACCCTAGTAAATTAGCATTTCTCTTCCAAAACTAAAGACAAATAATTTAATCATATATAAACTCTTTACAATCTTTTGGCAACTTCACTCTAGGTTCTCTCAGTTCTCATTGTGTGGTTGAATTTTCTCTTTTGTCAAATATTCAAATCATAATTCTCATATAAAGTTCATAAAACTCAAATAATAATTGAATCGTGATAAACTTTTCTTAAATTAATTAACATCAAAGACCTTCGACCCTTGTGCTTCACACTAATCAAAATTGTTTGTACGTCTAGTATTATTGATAAAATATAAACAAAATGTGATATAAAACAATAATACTTAGGATTTTTCTAACCCTAGTAAATTAGCATCTCTCTACACTCTACCAATTAACAATAAAGACAAACAAATTAATCATATATAAACCCTTTACAATCTTTTGGCAACTTCCCTCAAGGTTCTCTCAGTTCTCTTTGTGTGGTTGAATTTTCTCTTTTGTCAAACAATCAAATCATAATTCCCATATAAAGTTTATAAAGTTCAATTAATAATTGAATCGTGATAAACCTTTTTTAAATTAACTAACATCAAAGACCTTCAACGCTTGTGTTTTACACTAATCAAAATTGTTTGTACGTCTAATATTATTGATAAAATATAAATAAAATGTGATATAAAATAATAATACTTAAGATTCTTCTAACCATAGTAAATTAGCATCTCTCTACCAATTAATAATAAAGACAAATAAATTAATCATATATAAACCCTTTACAATCTTTTGGCAACTTCCCTCTAGCTTCTCTCAGTTCTCTTTGTGTGGTTGAATTTTCTCTTCTGTCAAACAATCAAATCATAATTCCCATATAAAGTTCATAAAACTCAATTAAATAATTGAAATCGTGATAAACATTTCTTAAATTAATTAACATCAAAGACACCCTTGTGTGTTTCACACTATCTAGTTATGGAAAATCTCTCCAATGGAAAGATCTTCGTCTACCCGTTTTCCAAATCAGATGAATTTGATACTAGTAGTGGGGAATTACTTTATAATATAAATACTAATATATTGTATCTAAAAATCCATGATCTTATTATTACTTGAAATACAAGAGGACAAGTCAAAGTAGTTCATTTTTAAAGGGATACTGAAAGCAACCAGCACATGTTAGAATTTTATTTTATTTTTTTCAACAAATAGTCGGTTAACTAATATTGACTGAAAGATATCAAAACCAATTGGCATTTTGATGCATGATAAACAGCGCATAAATTCTTTCTTCTCATAAATGAATGCATACAAGAATCCAATATTTTAATGGAAATTTACTTCTGGAAATTGAAAAAAAGGTGGTCCTGATAAAGATTGTTTCCAACAAGAAATTACATCTTAACTAATTAATTAAAAGTAATTGACTGGTCAAAGAACTCTCCATCACTGAATTAAAATACTCCTACTAAGCTCACGAAAAAATAAATAAAATCTCTGTAGAAAGAATCTGACTATTCTCCTTGGCATTTGCTAACTTTTCTTGCAGAGAATTCATACCATTAATGTCGATGTCATATTCACTAACTAATCGGACAATTTATTATCTTATCCAATTAACTTTGCAGTAGTAATAATAATAATAATAAATTGGAAAAATAGACAAATATATATATGTATATATATAAAATTTAAGAGGAGGTAGCTAGGGTTTTGGGATAAATTTTATAACCAATTGAAAAGTTTTTAAAAATATTTTTATTAATCACAGGATGCAAATCCGAATATGTGATAAGAAAGGAGCATATTCCAAGGAAGTTTGATTAAAAAAATGTGTAATATTGCAATTTATAAGCCATAAAAATAGACTTGAAATTATTTTTAATCTAGTTAGTTAATTAACAAGATGACTAAGATCTTTGAATTGTTTAATTATGGATATAAACATCAAACATCTTACCTAATATCTAAATTGATTAGAAGAATCAAATTAATAATTGGTTGACAGATGAATATTTAAACTTTACAACTATATATTACTCAACTCGAAGCTATCTATCTCAGCTGTCTTGAATAATGAATAATATCCGAATCATACTTGAAAATAACCTTGAATTAATGCTAATCAATAGTAATTAAATAAAAAAGAAAGTAAACAACATATTCCCACCCAAGGTTTAGCGAAATCACAGGTTGGTACCCCTAGTTTCATAAATTTCAGATTCTCACCCTTAGATGGATATTGTTAGTGATGGATGAGCTTTGACATAGGAGCAGATGATGCTATTACTAAACTGCCCTTCCACAATTTTCTGTCCAAACTACCCTCCATTTCTCTCAACTCACCACCATTGCCAGTGCCGTCGTCGGCCACTTTCTATGGATCCTATCGGATGTCTCACCCAAATCAGTAGGATCCATCACCCTCACCCCAAATCAAACACTTTCCTAGCCTAAAGTTTGCCGGTCAGGAGCTCTCTTTGCGATTTTGGGTGATTTTGTGTAATTTTGGTGGTTGTTTGTTATTTGATTGGACATTCAATGTTGGGGTTATAATTGGAGTTTGATTGAATGTTTTTTGGAGTATTGTTTGTTGATTTGCTAGGTTTTGGACGAATTGGGGATCGAAGATTGAGTTTTTTTTCGACTGCTGGCACACCCCCTGTTTGAAAAATTTCCCAAGTGCAACTACCCCTGCCATTTGCGCACTCATCTAGGTCTAGCGCCTAGTGAATCCGTCGACGACAGTCACCCCAGATCCCACCATTAGCCTCACTATAATCCCCCCACCAAAACCCCCAACCTCGCTCACAACAATTGCACGTCGACCACTGCTGCCAACCCTTTAGGGTTTCGCGCAATTATCACCCCTTCCCAGCCAAATTCTGTCGCTCCTTTCATCGAAAATTCCCCCCACCACCACCTTTTGCACCATTGTCGTTCCCTCTCTAAGACCCTCAACATCCTAGGTCTTAGTCGCCCACCGTTTGTCTACCACCTCTTCTCTTAGGGTTTCGCAATTTTGGTGAATTTTGGATTTGGTAGGCTTTTGTTTAAGAGGTTTTTGAAAGTAGATTGAGACTGTTTGGAAGTTGATTGTGATTTATTTGGAAGTGTTTGACGTCGGAGATGGTACCAAGGATCAACAGCGACACTGATTGGGTGAGAGAGATGTTTTTGCATAAATTAAAATATTAAATGACCATTTTAGCCTTTAACTATTAAAAGAAACGAAATGATGTCCATTTAAGGGTGAAAATCTAGAATTTATGAAACTAGGGATACCAATCTAGAGTTTTGCTAAACCTTGGGTTGGGAACATGTCATTTACTCTAAAGAAT